ATGTAGTGTCTCTACTTTAAAGAGTCCTCTCCTGCTGATGTTCAGGTGTATATCAGTATGTAGTGTCTCTACTTTAAAGAGTCCTCTCCTGCTGATGTTCAGGTGTATATCAGTATGTAGTGTCTCTACTTTAAAGAGTCCTCTCCTGCTGATGTTCAGGTGTATATCAGTATGTATTGTCTCTACTGGGACATGTCTCCATGCTTTAATGTTCAAAAAGCTCTTTATTGTTCTCATACTGCCTGTGCTGCAGCACCTCTGTTCACCCTCTGTCTGAAACCAGAGCCCAGTCTGCTCTGATTGGTTAGCTGGCCGGCTCTGTTGTGATACCGCTTAGAGATGTCCCGCCCCTTAGCCTAACACGTACAATGTGTTGGAGCGCTAGCCAATAGAAGCGCAAGTGTTACATAGTGATGTCAGTATGACCAACAAAGGAGTCCAATGGAGAAGTTTCATGTGTGTGTGCGGGAGAGGGAACACAGGGATTTTTGCCTTTGCAGACCATTTACATGCACAGAAACCTATAACACACTACAGGAAAGGGGAAAAACCCCCAAAAGCATAATAGTGCCTCTTTAAATGCCTCTTGTCCTTCCCTCTGTTGCAGTGTCGTCCCCTCAGATCCCTGATGCCCATGTGTTACTCCACGCTGACTGCAATGAGCAGGAGGTGACGTGTGAACTGAGCCGTTACTCTCCTCATGGACCCCAGGAGGCTCAGGAAGCGACTCATTTCCTGGTGTCTCTGAGTGTGGAGGGAGGCGAGTTCAGCATTGCGTTAATTCTGAAGACTTCAGTGGTGGAGAGGGACCATTCGACCCTCATTCAAAATAAACTGGGTCTACCTCTCAGTCCCTCTGGAACTCTTCTCACTGAAGGTTAGAACAAGTGTTTCATATCACTCTTTGTATTGCCTTCCATCAATAACATCCAGAGGTGGGAAGTAGTGGAGTACAAATACTTTGTTACTGTACTTAAGTACATGTTTCTGGTATCAGTACTTTACTCCACTACTTATTTTTCTGACGACTTTTTACTTTGACTTCTTACATGTTGAACCCAAATACCTGTACTTTCTACTTCTTACACTTTCCAAACAGGCTGGTTCCTTTAGTTTGAATGTGTGTTTGGTGGCGTGATCATTATTATTTAGAGTCATTGCGTGCCTATTGATTTGAACACGATCCGTGTATCCATCATTTCCTGGTTTCTCTAAAGAAGAGGGACCAATGAAAACGTTGTCATGTTGCCGTTGTTCAGCATGGAAACATTCATTAGCTAACAATGACATTATTGTTCTATTAATATAAAGGGAGGTCAGGTACTCTTTAAAACAGCTGCTAGTTATGGGTACTTTTTACTGAAGTACATTTCAAAGCCTCTTTACTTTGACTTGAGTAAAGAAGTTTAGTCAGTACTTCTACTTTCACCAGAGTATTTTTAAACAAGAGTATCTGTACTTCTACTTGAGTAAAGGATGTGTGTACTTTTGCCATCTCTGATATCACAACAGACTATTTTCTCTCTCTCTGTTTTCTGTCCTGCAGTGATCTTCCTGGTGTTTTCCCACATAAAGTCTGTGTCCGCTCCTCTGAAAGGAGACGTTCTCCTGTACTGTGGCTTCAGGCAGCAGGAGACCCCCTTAGCGCAGGAAGTGGCCGTTGAATGGCGACTGCAGCACCGGGGGAAAGGCTGGAAAGTGTTTGAAATGAAGACGAGGCTGGATGATGCAGAGGGGAGCACAGTGGGTGAGTGCTGCCACTGGTACTCTGCTTTATCTGGATCAGACATCCGTTTGACCACAACGGAGATATGTACAGCGTTACAACAGCAAAGATGAAAAGTAAAAAAACAGCATTATAAAATTAAGTGGCAGCAAGTTACCGTATAAAAGTAATTCAAAGTAAACTAGCTGCCACTAATAACTAGTCAAGAGTAAAAAGTGTCATTGCACATGACCTGTGTGTGTGTGTGTGTGTGTGTGTGTGTGTGTGTGTGTGTGTGTGTGTGTGTGTGTGTGTGTGTGTGTGTGTGTGTGTGTGTGTGTGTGTGTGTGTGTGTGTGTGTGTGTGTGTGTGTGTGTGTGTGTGTGTGAAAAGTACTCCGTAGTACGTACGTACGTACGTACGTACGTACGTACGTACGTACGTTACNACAGATATAACAGGTCAGAGGGTGTCGTTTTCTCATACTGATATTCTGCAAATGACCTTACAGTAAGGACACTATACAGCAAATACAACAGCACAGTTTGTGCAGAATATCAGTATGAGAAAACGACACCCTCTGACCTGTTATATCTGTTGTATAGGTTTTAGTGCATGTAAATGGTCTGCAAAGTCTAAAAACCCCAAGTGCCCTCCAGAGGGAGTTTACTTCTGTAACATAGTAACCTACCTAACACTTGGCTATCTATTGGCTAGCGCTCCAACACTTTGTACATGATATGCTAAGGTTCGGGACATTTCCAGAGGTTGACCAATCACAACAGAGCCGCCAGCTAACCAATCAGAGCAGACTGGGCTCTGGTTTTAGACAGAGGGTGAACAGAGGTGCTGCAGCACAGGCAGAATGAGAAAATTAAGAGCTTTCTGAACATTAAAGCATGGAAACATGTCATAGTAGAGACACTACATATTAATATCAACCTGAAAGATAGCGTAACATGGCTTCTGACAGTTTCTAAAAATGCTTTAAATGCTACATTATCAGCAACAAACATTGGATTACATTAAACGTCTTCAACCAATGTATATTCTTTTGAATACAATTTAATTCAAAGGTAATTTTAGAGCCCAAATACAACAATAAATAAAAACCAGGTCAATATGTGCAATGAATTAATAGAGATATATTTAAAATCCTCCATTCCCTGTTCCGCCCTCAGTGATTTCTCCTCTATTGTCCGTGCTGATTGAGACTGAAGAGCCAGCGACTCGTTCTCACAGTATTTAGAATGGATGTCATGCACTGATTAGTGCTGCATTGACTTCAGTGCATTAACAATGTAAGCCACTGTAGAGTATTTAGTATATTGCTGTTTTGAAGGGGCTGTGTATCACATGTAAATTGTCTGTGTAATTAGATCTGACATATTAATAATAGGTCTCGTCAATGCGAGAGGGCGGAGGGTGGAGATGTAAAACGAACACTTTGAAAGCAGCGGTTCATCGGGGAGGGGGAAACATCTTGCCGTATTTTGAGAAAAAACGCTGTAAGGTTTGTTTAAGAAATGTCAGAGCTGATTATCACTGTTCGAAAAGGCTAATGGAGGTAATTGTGATGCACAAGAACAGCTATTCCATATGCGGGGGTTTGAACCTACATATCTGTGCGTGCAGGTGTTTTGTGTTAAAGAAAATCAGTACTCAATTGTGAATGCTGGCAAAATCTGTGAATGGAAAGCCTCAAATCTGTATAAACGTTGTTCATCAAGTATCAGAATCAGAATACCCAGAATCAGGAGGAGGTTTATGATCTCTACAGCTCCTCTACCACCCAATCATCGAAGGCTTTAAGCATCAAAGCATACCGGGAGTCTACATCCATACCATTGGAGATTGGCTGTATCAATATTCTAGCAATGCATCAAATCGTTTTTTCAGCCTCAAACCAAGTGATGGCCGACAGACTGACACCTCTCTCTTCTCTAGAGCTTAGCATGGCCGTAGTTTCACAGTGTGAATCAGCGGTCAATATTTGTTAGGTAAATCTACTTCACAGTACGAACATCTGAATACCTGGTGCTTTTTCAGTCAGGCCAGTTTGGTTTCATGCGCCACTGAGCAACTTTCATTCAACCCTGGCTGTCATGGTCAGTGTTGACTTTCATTAAATGAATTCTCTCCAGAAGTAGTTCTGTTTATTAAAAAAAAACCTTTGTGAGAAAATCAATGTATCTGTTTTGTTTCTGTGTGTGTGTGTGTCTGTGTGTGTGTGTGTGTGTGTGTGTGTGTGTGTGTGTGTGTGTGGGTGTGGGGGTGTGTGTGGGTGTTGACTGTCTGTGTGTGTGTTGACTGTGTGTGTGTGTGTGTGTGTGTGTGTGTGTGTGTGTGTGTGTGTGTGTGTGTGTGTGTGTGTGTGTGTGTGTGTGTGTGTGTGTGTGTGTGTGTGCGTGCCTTCTGTCTGTCTGCTGTCTGTCCCTCTGTCTGTCCCTCTGTCTGTCTGTCTGTCCCTCTGTCTGTCTGTCTGTCTGCCTGTCTGTCTGTCTGTCCCTCTGTCTGTCTGCCTGTCTGTCCCTCTGTCTGTCTGTCTGCCTGTCTGTCTGTCTGTCTTCACCATCTTCTGTCATCCATCCAGATGAGGCCTCTGGAGACCGAGCCCGGGTCATTCATGTTACACAGTGTGTGTGTGTGTGTGTGTGTGTGTGTGTGTCCTTTATCTTTCTATCTATATATGTCTCTGCTGCTATGTGTGTGTACAACTCGTGTGTGTGTGTTTGTATGTATGTGTGTGTATGTGTGACAGACTGTGAAATGGTGCGTAGTAGCACCTGGGCCCTTCAGTGTTGATTGATCGGCTTGGTCATGTGGAAGAGTCCCATCTGGCCAGCCACGCTACAGTGTGTGTGTGTGTGTGTGTGTCTCTGTGTGTTTGTGTGGCAAAGAGAGTGCTGGTTTGTGTGTAAGAGGTGAGAGAGAGAGAGAGATAGAGATGTGCAGCATGAAACAATATGTTTATTGTGAGAGAGAGAGAGAGAGCTCTTCAGTTAGAACTGTGGCTCCCAGAGGCCAAAGATGAACTGTATTTTATCATCTGTGAGAGAGATGCTACATTTACAATCCAAGCCTTAAAGGACAGTCCCTCTGTTTTGTTAGAACCTAGAACCCCGTGTGTTGTGTTTGTCTAGGACCATTTGTATGGCTTGGTGCTTTTGAGCAATGGTATTTTAGACAATAGTGGGCATCCTAGTTACGATAATGGCCCACCCTGCCCACATATATTAAGCCAAGTCCACACCGAATTGTTGTCCCGAATTTGGTGAGGTAGAAGTTGATTGGTCTGCAGCGAACCCTTTCCTAAACCGTCCCACACCTTAGATATAAGTGCTGGGTATCTGTTTCTTGATTTAATAAAAATCGCAACCGTTAAACAATAACTGCTTTCAATAATTTAAGAACCCATATCTAGAAAATAACGATGATTGGTGTCGTTTTGCCTGCAGCCCGTTAGTGCAAGCATTCTCCGATGTAATGCAATATCCCTGCAGTTGTCCCTCTACCACAGCAATATATAAAGAAATATAAAAAACAAAAATACAACACTTTTAAAATGCAGTTTTGAAAACAAATAATTTTTGTAAAGGAGGGTAAATGGTATTTTAGGAACTGAGTGTTTCCATTCACATTGTTGTTATTGATTGAAGTAGAGAAATATGTATTGTATTGGTTTAACGGTACGAGTAATTATACTGGTATTGTTTTTAATGATATTATTGTTCTGCCTGTTTACTCTCACTAGTCTCTTTAAATCTGTTTTTATCTAATAATAATAATAATAATAATAACAACACATTGAATTTATATAGTGCTTTTCAAGTCTCAAAGTCGCTTAATCTACTAGTTTAATATCAATATGGAATACCTTGAATTAAAGAGGGACCATAGTGGAATTGTTTTGTTTTTTTAAATGTTGCTTGGTAGCAAACGTTGGCACCTCAATACAAAGAAGCAGCAAATGTTGGGAAAATATTTTGCAGATACAAGAACATGAGGACCTTCTTTTTCTGATTTTCTTCAGTTTGCAAACAATGTTGGCTTGCTGCTGCCATCACAAGAACCACTAGTCATTGCTGTGTAGTAACACAAGTGCTGGTTTCTAGCTAAATGGTTAAAAGTAACAGGTGGCTGCAAGGTTTCTTCATCAGTTTGTTGCTCGACAAAGGCTGATTAGCTGTTGTCTGTTGACAGATTCTCAATAACAAAATGTCAGTAGTGTTCTCTGCCTGCCCACACAGGGTCAAATGTATATTGTGGCTCTGAAGCATTAGTATGTTGATGTGCGTTGGACACCTTCAACGACAATCTCTGTCGAATGCCTTCAATATTATAAGTAACGTCGGCCTACAAATTCTAAAGCTTTCTCAAAGTCACATGAATCCAGATTTGACTGCTCACAAATCAGATTTAGACCCATGGCATGAAATGGTATAAATCTTTTTTTTTTTTTAATAATGAGACTCAGTTTGAACATGGAAAATAGAATAATAAAAAAAGACAAAATGAGAAAAACAGATGCAGAAATAAACTGAGAGAGAGAGAGAGAGAGAGAGAGAAAAGACAGACAGTGTGTGTTTTCTGAAACGAAGCCAACTGATAATTAATGCCTCTGACATCATGGTGCTCTAATTAAGCCTGGCATTCATTAAGCCAAGTTAGGGGGGGTGTTCGTTAGTGTCTTTTTTTTTTTTGGAGGGGGGATTTGTTAAGTCTTCATTGTTACTCTTCTTAGACAATAGAGAAAGCAAGATGGAAGAAAGAACAAAAAAAGATAGTTGAGGAGACATGGACAGTGTAACAGGACGTCCAGGAGATGTAACATCTTCTGGCAGCTCTATTGGAGGTTTTCAGATGGTTTGCAACAGAAGCATGTCTTTCCAATTTTCAAATGTCTCCATCCAAACAGATCTGAAAGGAGGAAGCTCCCTTCTTACTAAAACCAGTTATCAAATCAGTGATCTATAATTGGTATTCTCCTCAGGTTTTGGCTACGTTATCAAGAGATAATCAGTTTTATGTTAGTATAAACATATTTGAGTAGCTAACTGCAATGTTTACATGCTAGTTGTTATAAAATAAGCTAGCTGTCTTATACTTTGTATAGGTTGAGTTTGTGTTTGCT